AAAAAAAAAAACGCTTAATTCTTAATATTCAGAAAAGCAAACAAAGAAACAATATAATTATTACAAATGAAACACACTTTGTAGACCATTTTGTACAGAATGCTAGGGAAGTAGTATAAAGATGCAACTGACAGCAAATCATGATGAGCATACCGGTCATGAGGTGAACGTTAAAAATGAATAGAATTTCTGAAAAACCTGACTCCTAAATTTGTCTTCTTGTAACCTCTTTTTGTAACCTGTACAACTCAAAAAAGTAAAAAAATTCTAAAAAAATGAATTATAATTGTTCCAACGTTCCTCAGAACCAAAATCAAAAAAAAAAAAATTACTAGCTATCATAAAATTTTAACTGAAAACAATGAACAACTTTAACTACGGAATGTTTCCGGGATCTTTAGTAATCATGAGGTTTTCTTGAAAAAAAATTGATGTCATGGTTATTGCATTTAGCTCTGAAAGGATCAGGAAAAGCGTTTGGTGGAAAAGAGAATACTTTCGGTGCTGCTGCAGCATTTTCAAGAACGGTACAATATTGCTCAATGCCAAAGCCCTCGGTGCTGGTTCCCGAGCCTCGCCCGCTGGAACTTGAACCATCTGAAAATCGTCTTTGTCGTCCGCCTGCCTTTGACTCCCTTCTTCCATCCGTATTACCTTTTTCTTCCATATCGTTCCTAAAATTAGAAAATTTCAAACTCACTTCTTTAAAAAATTGTTCAAATAACAAGCATTTCCAATTCAGTAAAAGCTAGTCAGATTGAGTTCAAAAAAAGCTGTACAAAATAAAAAGAAAAAGTCATTTTTAAGCAAAGTTGTTCTTACTTACATAAAGTTCAAACTAAAAAGCTTTAATTTAAAGATGTGTATCAGCTGCACGCTAAAAAGTTAGAATAACGTGAACTCAAGGAAGTCAAAATTAATCCTAAAAGAATTTACATTGTGGCTGTCGGTGAGCCTCGTTCTCCTATAAAGACCTCGTCCGCTGGACTAGATGATAACGAAGACGCATCAGCAGCACAAGGTTTCGCTCGTAACGTAACTCTACCTTCGCAATGTTTTAAAAAAATATAAGAATTTGGAGAGACTTGGCCCACTGGTTCTGAATAAGCATATCCTTACGCTGTATTAATCGGCAATGGCTTAATTTATAATGAAATGATAAAATTTTTTGGGAAAGCAAACACTAGGAAATTTCACAATTGTACTCTTTTAAAAATTTTTGACGTTTTTTTCCAGTTATTGCAAACAAAAAACATTCACTGTCTTTAAAAAAAAAACGAAAATTCTTGCGAGAAATTATTAAATTGTACATGTCAGTGACATCTAAAAAAACGGTCTTTTTACTACCTACTAAGCATCATAATGTTAAAATACACACTGCCAGTGACGACTAAATATAAGGAAATTTTGCTAACAAACCTTGAAGAACGTCCGGTTTGCGATAGTTGTAATACTGATGATCAGATTTTGGAAGACTTTGCTGTTTTTCCAACCTTGACCCTAACAATGGTGCCGTATCGTCTTCATTATTTGTTATTGAAAACCGCTCAGGCTCAGCTTTTACCGGCGTTACTGGCGCTTCTGCATCAAGTTGCCATCCTGGCGATCCAATGGCACTGTCAACTGAAGCTGTTTTGCTTTCAGCGCTCTTTTCTGTATATACTGTCGGTCTAAAGCTTTTAAAACACCATGTAAACACAAAGAAATAAACAGCCTTATTTATTACACTAGTGACCATTAATTACGCCAATACAGTAAATAAAAATTATCTGATCATTCCCCAAAAAAAGCCTTAAATTTCAAATCAGGAAACTCTCACTGTACTAAAGCAGTACTATTTCTGAAAAAAAGAGCGAAAACGCCCGACAAGTTGACATCTGTAAGTAATAGCAAAGTTAAATAAGAGGACACAAATTGAATACCTTCGAATAACAGCATAAGATGGTTTTCTTTCTTCTACTCTGGCACAGTAGATCACTTTCTGGCCATTCAGTAGTGAACTGGTATCATTCCCATCATCCGAATTTCCGTCATAATCGGTAATTGGCTAGAAAAAATGCATATTTTTTTTACAAAACCACCTTTTTGTTCGACTGTAAAAGCTTAACTTTGTAATTTAATTGTAAAGTTTCTTTCAGAAACCTTAAACTCAGTTACCATATTAAAAAAACATTAAAATACTTACAGCCGGCGAATGTATAATTGGTTCTGAAAGTGGTCTAGTTCTGAGTTTTTTTAACGATAAATTTGACTCATTCAGAATAAGTGCAGCCTCTTCTGTAGCTGCAATATCTTCCCCTTCCATAGCGTTCTTTAAGTCTAGATATTTCTAAAATACATATAACTTGTTATTCCTGAGCAACAAAGCGACAACTTTAGTCGAAAATAAAGTGCGGCTCTTCCTTGCCATAAACAGTTACCTCTTGTTCTGAGGCACTTTGATTTAACATCCAATCAAAATAGTCGACGAGTACATCAAATGTTGGCCTCTGTTTTGGGTCTTCCTTAAAAAGTATAGAAACTAGCGGGTGAAAAAAAATTCACGCTCAAGCAGTGCTTAAAACGCTACAATTTCTCTTATTAGTATTTCAGAACATTTACAATGAAAACTCTGAAAAGAGAAAAATTCAATTTTTTCAGGACCTGCCAACAAGCGACCATGGCATTATAGATTTCTTCGGGACAATTTTCGGGTGCCTCCATACGATAACCTTCTTTAAGGCACGAATATAGCTGTTCCATTGCAATTGATGGGTACGGTGTACCTCCAAGTGTTATTATTTCCCATAGTAATATGCCGAATGACCAACTAGAAGTAGTATAAAACGTTGCATTGATACAAAAATGTTTCCACCCTTTTAAGCACATTATATGAAGCTTACACGTCGCTGTAGACAGTGTAAACATGCGAGTCTAAAGCCTCGAGAGCCATCCATTTAATCGGCAAACGACCATTTCCCTTCTTCCTGTAGTAATCATTATAGTGTACATCTCGAGATAATCCAAAATCAGAAATCTTGAGCACATAGTTGTCAGCAACTAGAACATTTCGTGCTGCCAAATCTCGGTGGATAATCTAAAATATGTAAAGCAAAACGTGTAAAGAGAATGGAGAGTACCGTGAACCAAGAAAACGACTGGAATTTCAGAAAGCCCATTATATGAGTATATTAGACAAAAGCGAGTAAATAAAGCAAATTGGTTTGTTCAAAATAGTAGCTAAAAACTACTCTACCTTTCTACTTGTCATGTACTGCATTCCTCTCGCTACTTGCCAAGCAAACTGTACAAGGTGTCGCAATGTAAGAGGATTGATTAAAACAATTTCCGGATCTTTTGCAGATGTCGTACTCTGCACTGACGGTTTTCTTGCCTCCAAATAACCGTCGCTGTTTTTCGCTTCCTGTGGTTGATCGTTGTCATGTGGACGATGTGCACGCAGAAAGTCCCTGAATAAATTTCTTTTGCTTATAATGAGCTATAAATTTTAAGAGTATCCATAACTGAGCACTGTCATAATTCGTAGTCACAAACATGCAGAATAAATTTTCCATCTAAAAACAAGTTCTTGGAATTTTGGTGTGACAGTCTTAAATACACTTACCTTAAATTACCATATTTACAGAGCTCCAGAACAACAAACAATGGTCCCCCTTGTGTGCTACACCCGATTAGTTTCAAGATGTTGTCGTGCTGTCCAATTTTTTGAAAAGTCATCTTTTCACTAATCAGATCTTCCATTTCCTTATCCTGCGCATTTGACTTCAGCTTCTTTACAGCCACTAATATCT